GGCATCAGTGATCCATTTGCCCAGCATCATGGACATTCCACTACCTCTCGCTCCCACAATTGTTGGTCGCACATTCAACACCAGATGGCTCTTCTCTCCTCTCACACTCTGCATATTGTTTTCCATGGAGTTGTTAGTTTGCAGGGATTGGAGGCTTGCTGATAATCTAGTGCTCTCTTCTTTTGTTTTTTGATCTGGGAATGAGGATGGTTTGAGTCTCCTGAACTCGCCTTCCTTAAATAGCATCTTCCCTCCCCCCATAGTATCAGATAGTCCACCACCAGAACATTTAATGCTCTCAGAGGTGTATCTTTTCCCCTGGTGTATCCATTTTTGATTGGGGGTACCAGTAATCCTCTTAATTGCCATATGGGGTAAGTGGTTGTGACCATATTCATTCCTCATTCTCCTGCCGAAGGTGCTAGCTGTACCTTCCATGAGGTAAGTTCCTTTTGCACCCTGCTCAGACATAAATTCCTGGCTGCTGTATCCAGTGATTGGCTGCAGTAGAAATTAATGTGAATGATTGGTGTGATGTTTTTCCAGGTCGCTTTCTCAGGTGCTTCCCTTTGACAATTACTGCAGGGCTTTCCTTCCACCAGGAGTATTTGATGCGTGTCTTCAATGTCTGACTCTCGATCTTCCTGATTAGTGATCGCCTTCAGTGCTCCTTCTCCTCTATTAGCCATGACTGGTTCTTCCTCTGGTGGTTTGGGCGGTGGTAGGGAAGTTTTGCATAGACCCTGATATTGATTGCCCTTCCCCTCATAGGCTAGGTTAGCGGCTCTGCAGTCTGAGGTCTCATTACTACCCCTCTTTATCTTAACTCTCTTTAGATTTTCTGGGATCTCCTGACCTTCCTTGTAAGCCTGCACTGGGTCTTTAATGTGTGCCTCCCATGTTGATGCTGGAAGAAGTCTCGGGGGGACTCTTTGATGGGTGTAGAGGATATGTCTGAGATAGATCTCCGAAGATGATCATTGAAGGCTCCGCTAGCGGCAGCTGTAGATTGATAGTGAGAAACTCGCTGTGGACTTTGGTAATTTGAGAGCATTTGAACAGTGTTATAAGTGGTGCAATTCAAGGGATCTTCAGAAGTGTTAGTTAGCTCGCTCGCTCGTGGCACTTGGCAGGCTTAAGTTTGCGGTTTTTAATATTGTACCCAAGTAAACTCAGGGGTCGTTTGGAGTAGGGCTGGGAATCCGGTCTCGGTTTTTCGGTCAAACCGGAAACCGGCCAGTTTAAACCGTCCCGGTTGTAACCGGAAACCGGATTCCAAGTAACCCAATCCAGTTTGCGGTTGCAGTGGTCACAGCCCGGTCCGATCCGGTTAAAACCGGAAAAACCGGATAGTCCAACTTGAGCCCACCCCATCTCCCCAGCAAGCCCACCTCTCTCTACAATTTAATTAGGCCGGAGCCCAGCTACAGGCCCACCAACCCTCCCAAACCCCTAAAGCCCGACTCCACAACCCTACATCGTCTCCCTCGAGCTCACACTCAAAGGCGCAGCCGCCTTTCTTCGATCTCTTCCCTTCTCTCCAAATCTCCTCCAGCGGCAAAGCCAAAAACCACCCTCCCATCTCCCAAATCCCACTCTATCTCACTCACCCTCTCTACTTGCCTCTCATCCGATTCCATGGCGGCGGCGGCGGCGGCGACACCAAGACGATCGATTTGGAGCAACCGCAGCTCTGCCTCTCTCTTCTCAGTCTCACCAGCCGATTTGAAGCGCCATCGCTCTGTTTCTCGCCCGGATCGAGACATGCATGACCTGACCTGCCTTCCTCTGGATTTCTCCCATATAGAAACATGCAAGACCCGCGCACGACGACGACGGCGATGATGAGGCATGGAGCTCTTCGGCTTCCCTGCGCGCGACGGCGACGAAGAAGGCAAAGAGCTCTCCAGGGAGGAGAAAAGGCAGAGGAAAGATCGAGAAAGAATGGGAGTAGAGAAAATTTTGATTTCCAGAATAGAGAGAGATTGAGAAAGGTAGGGACTAGGGAGTTGTCGAGAAATGGAGGAAGGAGATATCTTAGATCCCTCTTTTCATTTTTATTTTTATTGATTTTTATTTTTCTTCCTCAATTTTTATTCAAACGACAACGTTCTGGGAGAGGTTAATGCCAGCCCAGTTTTCGGTTTAAAACCGGATCGAACCCAATCCAGTTACGGTTGAAACCGGATACAATCCAATCCCGTCTCCGGTTGTGGTATTTGCCAAAACGGTTATAAAAAACCGGGTCAATCCGGTCCGGTTTCAACCGGACCGGATTGTTTCCCACCCCTAGTTTGGAGGTTGAGATTTGAAGTGAGGTATTTAGCAAATACATGTAATGATAAGATTAAGTCATTTTTTTTGTTCACTTTGAGTTAGAATGCATGCATTACTTTTTTGTTGGGCCCACCTACAATCACTCAAAATGGATGATTATAAATCTCTACTAAAAGGTGAGATTGTTAATGAGGGATTGTCTACCCTACTTTTTGTTTCATCATTGCCCTTCCAAACAAAGTATTTTCCTAATACATGCATTGAATCAATACATTAAATGATAATACACTAATTGACCTAGTACATCAATTTGAAGAATCACAACTTCCAAACGACCCCTCAGTATTGTCTCTAAATATTTCTACCGTTAGATTTACCCTTTGATGTACATCAACGCGTGGGGTTTCTTTAGTGATTTCACTACGCCAATGCAGTAAAAGTAAAACGATGAATGATAGTATTTTGAGTCTGTATACTTTGCGGGTTATACAAATGAGTCATTGCATTATTTTTTCTTGTTAAACCATTCTTATGTCGTGATGATGTACATATTTTTTTCATGTGTATTCGGTTTATTGGATGTGTTTCTATAAATAACTTTATCAAAATATGTATATGTTGAGATTGAGTTAGTACGAGGCTACATCTTTCATGGCGTATTTCTCATGTACATTGTAAACTTGTGGTTTATGATGCAATTTTCAAATTCTTTATTTTCTCGCATATATATTGCCAATCAGGGACGGAGCCAGCTCATGTTGAGGAGGGGCCATGGCCCCCCTAAAATTTACAAATACAAACAAACGTGCAGCGCAAACCTAACTTTAACCTTGGCAGTAGTGGTTCAGATGCTAAACTTAAATTATAATTGATCTTGAGGTTGCTGGTTCGAACACAGCCTTTGGTAGAACTCAAATATATCTTGCTTAATTATTTTGGCAGACTTTTCCAATTGCTTTTTCACAGTTTTTCCAACATTTTGCATTTTTCTTACTTATTTTGGCATTTTCTCCATAACACAGTTTTTTCAATTTTGCTTAATTTCTTTGGCAGAACTCTTGTAGGTTCTTCACAGCTTTTTTAATTTCTTCGGCAGGTCTCTTTGTTGAAATTTTTATGTAGCATATATTTTTAAATGGTAAAATCTAGGCTTCTTTTTTAAGATGTATCATGATTATTGATTACCGTAATTTTTGATAATATTTTGAAAGATTTTATATAAAATAATTCTAAATTGTTTTGGTTGTTATATTTTTTATGTATTTTCCACTACCGTTTGTGTGTTGGGAAAAAAAATTGCCGGCCCCCCCCTAATCGAAAATTCTGGCTCCGTCCCTGTTGCCAATTGCAACCGTATTTTAAAATTTAACCAATTCGACATTAGATATATTTTTCCATCTCACACGAATACTTAGTCATCATAAAGATAAATCGACTTTACTAGGAAGGGATTTGTCTGTTGGGAAACACATATTAATATAAGTACCAAGTACCAACCTAGGCAATTAACCTCAAAATAATTAACAGTTTGATTGAACAGTTCGCTTTTTGTCATTTTGTAAGGCTTATTTGAAGGAATTTTAGTTTCACCGCCACCACCGTGATTCGAGGCGACTATGTTAATTCGGGCCGGCCCGCCGTTTGCGACCGACAGTGAGTTAGCTACCGTCACCAACAGCAACTTTTGTGCCCATGTGACGTTGAGGCCCGCTAAAACCTGGCCCAAAAAGAGCCCACAGTACTATAGCCATTTTCCGAGTTGACCGAGATGCTAAAAGAATGCTTCTTTGTCCCATTTGCATAGCAAATGCCAACCCTTAAACTCACAGGAAGCAGTTTAGTTGCTGAATCAAACCAATAAAAACTTGTTCACATTTATGGAGAAAAAAATCCAATTCCAAACTACTTCTTCTCCAACAGATGCCATGATGCAACAATTTCTACCTACGTTGCAAAATCTCAGTGAATGGACAGATGAAAACATCTGATCCATTTCGGTTCACATTTCTAGACCAAAACCAGAGCTAAAATTCGTATGCGTTGCTCTACAGTTCTTGTGTCGATTACTACATTTAGAATCCGAAGACCCTTCTCGATACATCTCTTGGCTAAACTATGTCCGTCTCAGCCTTGCCTTATAACTTCCCACAGCAGCCCAAGGATAACCTCTCGTAATTGATAGACACGTCACAGCTTTAAGCAAATCCACATTAGTAAACTGAGCAAGAATGCAAGTGTGTATGATAAAGAAGAAACTTACCCAGTGTCTGTTGGGAAGCGCATTCAGTCAAAAGCTCTACACTTTACACCGCTTCCCATTGATGAAGACAGTTGTGTTCACCCAGACTTACTCTAAGCTTTCACATAAGCTTCCAGGACATATCGTCGAAATGTTAACCTAATCACAAGGAAATTGAGGAAGGGAAGGGATTGGGAATTTTCGGGAACCTGATGATGATTTCAAATTTCAATCCATATCCTCATCTCCTAAAATTCACTGCAGGCCTAATCTCGAGCCCATGGGCTTGCTTCATTTGTTGGGATTTCAATCCGTGGGCCCCGATCATGAATCACTGCGATTTAGCGGCAATTGAAGTATAAAAACCCATCTTTAATCACCGATGCAGGTTGGTCACCAAAGTATACAGTCCACAGTTGGTAAATCATGGTTTGGTCCAAACGACCAACCCAGACTAAATGAACAAAACAGCTTAATAATACATCCCATAATCAAATAAACCATTTTTTATTTTTCAATATTTTAGAATCTGAACCAAATTACACTATTCTATTTGATCCACGGTTTTTTCATATTAAAACTTGATACAAAAGCAAACACGAACTTCCAACAAAGAATCTACAGATTCTCATTGCATATTAAGACTTGATACAAAAGCAACAGGTGAAAACAAGGGGGGAAACGGGAAAGACCGTAAACCCTCTGATTTACATATGAACAAAGCTAAGAAAGAAAGAATCAACGTTACAAAGGCCAACCCATAAATCATAATGAATACACGCTCATCATCATAGTCATTTACATTCGGTAGGGAAGCCCTGCGGGAATCGCTTCAGATCAGTGCAGTAATTATAAATCATGAAGTTCTTCTGAACCCATCTCAGCCTCCTCCTGGCATTCGCATCCAACGCATTCGACTGCCAGTCTCCATTCGCAAACTCGCCGCTGCTACGAGACCGGGAAGAAGAAACAGGGGTGACCTGGAACTTCCTGTAGTAAGCAGTGAATGGAGCCTTGGACCAATCAGCCTTCACCAACCCTCCACGCGTCGCCCAATCGTCAGCGTTCCACAAGCTCGAGTAAATCCTCATCGCCTGGTTCTTTGGGAACGGAACTCCCCTGTTCTCGGCGTTGTTGAATACCCTGATCGGAGTGTTGTCCACCAAGAACCTGCACAATAATATTTAGAGACAGAGTTATAACTCTTAGCTTGGCAATATCAGCGCAAAGCAGCTTAGCTGCACACGCGTCAGCCTCAAATAGTATGGTTGATTTAGTGGCTTACGTAATGTGTTGAGGCTTCCAGATGATCGAGTAGGTGTGGAAGTTTCTGGTGGGATCGAACCAGAGGTAAAACTGTTGCTCTCTGTTTCCTTTTCCTTGAGTAAACACGTTCGTGTGCAATATATAAGGATCTCCGCTCACATTTCCTAGAAACTCGAAGTCAATTTCATCATGAGTCGGGCCTTGAGATGACAACTGCATGGGGGAAAAAAACATAACACAAACAAGAGATTATTAGCGCAGGAGAATAAAAACGGACGCTTTTTGGTATGAGCTAACCGAAACTAAGAACAGAGCTCCCCTGTTTTCCTCTCTGTTTCCATAACTTAATAGAAAAACGTTTTTTACTTTTCGGGAACAAGTTGAAGGATTGGGCTTACATAATAGGCAGTGACGGTGCCAGCCGAGTTGCCGGCGACGAGCTTGAGCTGCATATCAATCCGGCCGAACAAGTACTCCTTCTTTGACACAAACCCAGAGCCAGAGGTCTTGTCGAGAGACAGAGACAGCATCTGGCCGCCGCCGAATATCTTGGCCCTCTGCCCTCCCCACGTCAAATCGAAGTCCTGGTAGAAGTTGCCACCGTAGGCTACTCCCATCAACACGGCCAATTCCACCACACAGATGGCCAGTTTTTGCCCGGAAGAGAAGGAAAAGCTGCCCATTCTCTGTTACTATTTAACTTTCCCCTGTTTCTCTATTTGGTTTGTGTTTTGAGATGTGAAGAAGGATCGAAGAGATGGGTTTCTATATATACACGAAGGGTTGGGTGGATGAGAAGTGAAATGTGAAGAAGATACGCGTGATGGTGGCGCGGGGGTAAGGGCCGTGCATGGGTTTTAGGTTTGTGGAGGTCAGAGAACAGAGCAGCTGGTGCCAGCTATGGTTTATTTAGAATTCCTGTCCAACGAATAGCTGGTTTTTGAACATTTCACTTTTGTTTGGAAGTGGGAGGATGGAATGGGGATGGGTAGCTGTAAATGTACTTCCAGTCATATGATTATTCACGCATTTCCAAAACCAGAATTCAAAATCATAAAAAAAAAGTTTATCTGTGGCGCGCCTTTGGTTTTATGACAACTATCAAAATTTTATATTATCAATAAATTATTTTAGTTATAGTTAAGACTTAAGAAGTTGATAAATTCATCAGCATATCATGTGCTTAACAAATTGGTTAAAACGAGAGATTGGTTGTGTTCCGGCTGGTGAACATTAAATAGGAACCCACTCAGTATAGGGACTATTAACTTCTTGAGTTTGGGAACTTTGTAGCCATTGTTTATTTTGCCATGTAGCAACTTTAAGTAATTGTCTTATAATTAATGTAAAGCTAAGTGAGTAGGGTTTGGTTAGTGCCTGTTGGAGAGGAAACAATGGGCCAAGGTTCTTGTGAGGGACATGATATGGAAGAGTGGTTGGTAGATTAGTACTAATTATTGAGGTTGCTATTATCATCGTTCTCCTAATTCATGATTATATTTCCTTGAACCGAATATGTTGTTAAGGGTATAAAAAATAAGGGAATTATTCTTCGTTTAGGACCACCAAGCTACTAGCTACTTCCACTCATTAATTCTTGTTGATACCTCATTAACATTAACGCAACGCTCTAAATACACATTCATCAAAATCGCCACTTAATTACTGTACACCACACTCTAACCAAAATCCTTTACAAATTTACTTCATAAGCGAATATTCCAAACATATATATAATATTATGTCCTGATTGTGGAGAATATTACACATTCTCCGACCAGATTGTGTATGCTAAATCATCTACTAAGTACTAATTTGACTCGTTAATACGTTAACTAATTACTCGCCAGTAATTCTGTATAACTTCTAATTGTAATCCACTACCTAAAGTATGTAGAACCACATAGAAGTACTGCGTAGCTAGGTTATGAAGTTCACTTCTTTTTTTCTTTTTTTTTTGGCTCAATTGCAAGTTTGGTCACTTGAATTACTAGTAAATTTCACGTTAGCCACTAGAATTACTTTATTCCATCCGTAGTCACTTAAATTAGGTTAACAGTTCAAGTTTGGTCACTGGCCGTTAGTTTCCGTTAACTTTTGCTGATGTGGCGGTCAACTATTATAGTTGACCGTTAAATGAGTGACATGGCAATAAAAAAAAATTCTTATTTTCCAGCTAATTAATATAAATTAAAAAAATCCAAATTTATTTAATTATTATTTTCCACCGTCATCGTGTTCATCGTCTCCGCCGCTAACTTTGTCGGTGTCGTCATTCTACTACCCACCGTCCTCCAATACTCCGATTCCTTCGCCGCCACCAACCTCCTCTCCGGCTCCAACCCTTCCCACGACATCATCCTCAGCCCCGACCCCAACCATCACCACATAACAGATTCCTCTCCGCCCCTCTCTCCTGGTCCAACCACCCAACTTCCCTTGCCTCCGGCCACGTCTAGAAGCGGAGCTACCTCCTCCACAACCCACCGGGGCAGGGAAATCGAACTCCAAATTCTCTACTTGAAAGACTCGTCCGCCCTGCATTCCCCCACTGCCGCCTCCTAATCTCTCTTCCGCCGGGTCCCCTTCTCTTCTTTCCTTTCTTATTCTTCTTCGTTTTTCCCCTAGCTCAACTGGAACAAGAGGAGACATATATAGGAAGTCTATGCCGCCCTCCTGCTGCTCTCATCACCGACAGTGTGACAAATCCTTTTTGCCCGATGCTCGAATCGCATCGACGGCGGCGCCTCGCTTCCAGTTTCTCCAGTAATCTCTCTGTCAGTAGCCACCGCCCAACCATTGATCTCCGCCGCCGATATTCAATTTGGAAATAAATAAAAAGAGGAGAAGAAGAAGGCAAAATTCAGGGCACGCCTAGGAAAAACGAAGAAGAATAAGAAAGAAAAGAAGAGAAGGGGACCCGACGGAAGAGAGATTTCTTTTATTATAGGGTTGGGGGAAGCTGCCGCTGCTGCTTTAGAGGGAGATTGGAATCGTCCCTATCACCGATTCGTCGAGATCGTAGGGAGAGGCGCCGACGTAGATGTGGTGGAATCCGTCGGGAGAGTCAAAGAGCGACGGCGGCGAGTCGAGGTAATCGCCGGCTCCGTTGGTGGACTGCGGGAAATTTGGCTGGTAGGAGATATATCCAATCGGCGGACAGCTAGAACGATGTGAAAATGAGTACGGGTGTAATGAACGGCCGGCGGTGCCGCCGGTTCCGGCTTTAGCCTGAACTTTATATTATTCGATTGAAGCTATCTACGAATAAAATAATTAGCTGGAAAATAATAATTAAAAAATTAGGATTTTTTTAATTTATAATAATTAGCTGGAAAATAAGAAATTATTTTATTTTATTTTATTAATTGCCACGTCACTCATTTAACGGTCAACTATAATAGTTGACCGCCACATCAGCAAAAGTTAACGGAGACTAACGGCCAGTGACCAAACTTGAACTGTTAACCTAATTTAAGTGACTACGAATGGAATAAAATAATTCTAGTGGCTAACGTGAAATTTACTAGTAATTCAAGTGACCAAACTTGCAATTTAGCCTTTTTTTTTGGTGGGAAGGATGAAGTACAATTTTAGACACAGCTGTTTCGGTTTGGAAGTTTATGGTGGTGTATGGCTGAATTGAACTACTTCTTATCCAGAGGACAAAGTAGGGCAATGCTTTTAAAGCATGGCCTTCCTTCCTTCCTCTTCTGCTCCATTCCATATCTCCATCTCCTTCAGTTTGGGGAGAAGTAGTTTGTCAGCACAACCCTCCAAAACTTCTGCAGCTTGTATTCCACTAGTACATATGGCAATGGCAGCGGTGGCCAAATGTTGGTTCTTATTACTACCAAGCTAGCTACCGCTCTAAGTAATGCACAAAGTCTTTCTATCTAAACGATCGAGAAAGCCAAATAATCAATTAGGAAGGCAGAGGAGGTAGCTCGAACATAAATGACAAGAGACAAAAAAAGGCATCATAAACAAGGCCGATCCGATTCAGTTGTTGGACCAATCATTTTGATGCCAAGGATTCAATGATCAATCGACTCCCACAGCTCACTGATGGATCGCCAGCCCGATAGATAGGCACACTCTAACCTCCCAATCTCCACCTTTAATTGTATGTATGTATGTAATATGTATACGTGCATGAACTAGCTACTAGACGTATTTGAATTTTGAAATGATGTGACTATGACCCAACCAAGTCTTGTAACCGTCTGGATTCATCGAGATTTTACAATCCGCGTTTAACGAATATCTTGCTTTGTGTTGAAGCGGACGCGATCATAAAATCCAAAGTCAATTTATAAGGGGCAGTTAATCAGTTTTGTATTATATAGTACAAGTAGAGTCATGATGGATGAAGTTATAGACAAATTAGATGAATTCAATACATCATGAAGACTAACGATCGATGTAGATATAGTCATTCGATCAACTACGTTGTTGTTCAGTCTTCGCAAAATGGTTCCTAATCATGTCATGTAATCATTATCGCGAGGAAATTTATATAAAAGGAGTTTCTTATCTATTTTAAATAGAGTTAACTAATCATACTCAATTGAATCATCACTAAGTATATACTCCAACCCGATTCTAAATAGTTGGCCTGTTTTCCCCCCTAGATAAACTAGTCAGACTGACTTATCAAAGGTTTGAATCCAAAAAGTTTAACCCCATACTCAATTGTAACTCATTTGTAAGTAGGGGTGGCAGTCGGTCGTTTCGGTTTAACCGAAAACCGATTTCTCGATTATCGGTTAAACCAAGTCGCCCCGTATGGATGACGATCACCGACCGGTCAGTTTCGGTTCTGGGTCGGTTTAATCGTGGCAATCGCAACATAAGCCCTGGTTTGTCTCCATTCTCGATCCTTCCTCTGTTCCCATCTCCTGCTCCCTTTCCTCTTCCCAAAAAATCATTCCTCCTCCCTCTCCATTCACGATCTCTATTTCTCTACCCTCAAATCCCGTCAATTCCTTCCTCCAACCTCACAACCGCAATCAATCTACCCGGATTTCACTGAAGCTGCTTCTCTCTGTTCGACGTCGACGACAGAGGCGGAGGCGGAGGTGCGACATGAATCAGGGACGAGATTTGGGCGGAGGCGGAGGCAATCTCGCGGGGAAGACCGTCCCTCAAAGCGGAGGCGGAGTTGATGCTCGCCTTCGCTGATACTCGACAACGACGAAGATGGAGTCAGAGGCGGAGGCGCAACGCGAGTAGGGGAACAGTTGGGCGAAGGCAGAGGCTCGCATGTCGACGACGACGAATGCAGAGGTGGAGGTTCGCAGGCGAATTGGGTAGAGTCGGAGGTGAGGCGCGGCATGGCGCGGCGCGAGATCGGGGAGATGGGGGAGGGTATTCGAATTAGGTTATTTGATTTGGGGGTGAAGGGTTTTCTGCGATTTTGCCATTTTGGGATGGGGAGAAGGGAATTTTTGGTGAGGGTCGGTTATCCGGTTAGCCGCGGTTAATTATTCCGATTAGTCGGCTAGCCGGAGCCCTCTGATGGGCATCCAGACACCGACCGATGTCGATTTTTGCCGGTTTTTGGTTATAACCGGCGGCTAACCGCTAACCGGCAACCGATTTGCCAGCCCTATTTGTAAGAGTTGCCAGTTGGGTAAAATTGGAAATATGGGTTCGTTTATTGACGAGACCCCACATTTATTTTAGAAGAAGGAATCCTTGCCTGCCTCGGTGGGTAATTGGTTGTATTGATGGAAGGGGAATATGGGAAGAATTTGGTTCCAGGAGAGAAACAATATGTGAACCATGGACCACTTAGGCACTTACCCTATTAAAGCCGTTATGAAAAATGGAATTCAAATATATGTACTTTGCCAAATATTGTCTTTCAATTTTTGTTTTTTTTCACTTGGTTTGATTATACATCATCATTATTATTATTATTGAAAGAATTTGATTACACATTATAGTTACAAGCAATTACTTATATATAATACAATCGTTATTTCTTATCCTTACTAGTTTTTATAGTTGTCCGAGAAGTTAACTTTGAACCATAAATGTCACGATCAAAGTGAATATCTTTACAATTACCTAAAATGATCATGTCAATGTTAAACATGTGCAATTTGTCACATAAGATTAGTAGTTAGTGTCGTTATTGGTTTTTTACATTGTACTTCTACCATAATGATTTTGAACGTTTTAACCACTTGGCCTTCGTCTTTTCACGATTGGATCACTAGTATCAAATTTGATAGTTTCCTAAAGAAAGTCATTGCTTGTTCAAATCTGAAAGATTTTGAGTCGATAAATTTTTTTTTCTTGCAAATTTGCAATATAGACACTGAATTAAAGGAGAAAATACATCAATTACAAGTGGAATTTATTTTCGGAAATGAACAAAAGAAAACAATTTGGTTCCACATAGACTATACAAAGTACAAACTGGAAAAGAGCCTTGAAAAAGTCTAATAAACACCATTAATCAAATCATTTGCACTCGGTAGGAAGGCCTTGCGGGAAGCGCTTGAAATCGGTACAGTAGTTATAGATCATGAAGTTCTTCTGAACCCATCTCAGCCTCCTTCTCGCACTCGCATCCAACGCATTCGACTGCCAGTCTCCATTCCCAAACTCGCCGCTGCTACGAGACCTGGAGGAAGAAACAGGGGTGACCTGGAAGTTCCTGTAGTAAGCAGTGAATGGCGCCTTGGACCAATCAGCCTTCACCAACCCGCCACGCGTCGCCCAATCATCCGCATTCCAAAGGCTGGAGTAAATCCTCATCGCCTGGTTCTTGGGGAACGGAATTCCCCTGTTCTCGCCGTTGTTGAATACCCTAATCGGAGTGTTGTCCACCAAGAACCTGCATAAATAATAATCATTATCACTGTCAAGATTTAGCTCTTTGCATAATAATAATAATCCAACAGTACGATGAGTGATCGGATACTTACGTGATGTGTTGAGGCTTCCAGATGATGGAATAGGTGTGGAAGTTCTTGGTTGGGTCGAACCAGAGGTAAAATTGCTGCTCCCTGTTTCCTTTCCCCTGAGTGAACACATTTGTGTGCAGTATGTAAGGATCGCCGCTCACATTTCCCAGAAATTCAAAGTCGATTTCGTCATGAGTTGGGCCTTGAGATGACAGCTGCAGCATAAAACAGAGCACAAAACATGGTCGAATCAGTTGTAGAAGAAGAAGAAAAAAAGCAAAGATAATGATGGGGGGAAAACAGGGGAGGAAAGTTAAAAGTGAAACAGAGAAAATCGGTTCGGTTTTGGGCTGGCATTGCTTACGTAATAAGCGGTGACGGTCCCGGCGGAGTTGCCGGCGACGAGCTTGAGCTGCATATCGATCCGGCCGAACAAGTACTCCTTCTTGGACTGAAACCCAGAGCCGGAGGTCTTGTCAAGAGACAGAGTCAGCATTTGGCCGCCGCCGAATATCTTGGCCCTCTGCCCTCCCCACGTCAGATCGAAATCCTGGTAGAAGTTGCCGCCGACGGCAGACCCGACCATTGTGGCTAGCACAGCCATAGAAATGAGCAGACTTTGATGAAAGGAGGAGGTACCCATTTTGAGATTTAGGGTTTATCTTGGAGGGGAGGAGATTAAGGGAGGGAAAACAGGGGAGGAAGGGTTTTTTGGTTTGAGTTGTGAAGAGGATTGTTGGGGCAGAGGTGGTATTTATATGGAAGTGAGGAAGAGGGGAATGGTGGAATTGAGTGGAGATACGCGTGAGGCAGAGCAGGATGCCAAGTTGCAGCTGTTGCCAGCTTAGACATCCAATTCATGAATGTAGATTGTAGAGAGAGCTTTATAAGAATAGAGTAGATACATACAACTTTGGTTTGTTTGGGTATGGGGATGGCTCCCCAATTCCATCTCACCCCTTCTTTTTTCTGAAAGTAAAAGTCATTCAATTGAACAGAATCTTAATGTTAATGATCCAGAGTTTCTGTTTAAAGCTAGTATACTAGTGATTACAGTTAAACTCAACCATTTAAATTATGGGTTATTGATTGAATCACTGATTGGATCGTTTGCATGTCAAATTACGATGAAACGTATAGCTAGCGAGATACGTATTCGTATTTTCAACGGATTCTCAAAAACATCTAACAAGTCTTTGCTCACAATCCACCTACTTAATGAGTTGATGAGCGAGCCAGGGAGAGTTTTTCCTATTTGAAAATGTGTTGGGGCTGTTTTGGGTGAAGGCAGGCATCTTTATATGTGTTGTACAACGTAGAACACTTTCATGGGAGGGCCTCAGTGGAGAACAGAAGTGTGTTTTGTAGAATCCTTATTTTAGGGGGATTCGGTAGGGAGGTAGAAGAAAGCGGCCGGACAATGATTCTGAGAAGGAATAAAGCATATGTCGTTAGTTAATTAGTATATGTATGATTTATTAATTTTGTAATCCTTCTTCTTGGGAAATCATTGGGTGGGAGTGAGAATGGTTGTGGATGACAGCCTTGTAATTTTGCCGTGGGGGGAATATTGGAATAATGATGGCAATCATTAGTCCATCCTATTTAGAACCTATTGATTTTATTGGTTTAAAAACTGTAAAGTATAGTTGTCGTGCTGATGGCATGTCGGTTGGTTGAATTTGGTTTGGTCGATGTCGGTGATGCAATAGGCGGGAACACCCCTGTTATAATCGGTATGATCTACTTATGAAGCCTAAGTAAATTTTTTTTATGAATTTAATTATAAAAATTAATTTATTATTTATTTCATGAATTTAAAAGTCAAAAGTTGATTTTTTTTGTTGGATTGTAAATAAATTATCCTCAAATATGTTTTATATATGATTAAATTTATTGGATTTTAATGATTTCTATATTTTTACATATTTTGTTAAATCGACATGAATCGACACAAACCAGTTGCACCACCAGTCAGCGGTCACACAAATATATAGACGACCTTGCTGTAAAGTAACACCGAACTATCATACTATCAAATAAATATATCGATTTTTATGCCTAAACAAAGCAGCTAATACACAGAAGTCGATGCAAATCACCACTAAAAATTGATACAAATAACATTACTAAATATTATTTGCTAGACCTATGATTTCAAGATCCTGTAATGCAGAACATTTTATAATCAACTTTTACGTGTTTATCAATATTAACATGTACAAATTGAGTGGCCACTTGGGTTTCAATAATTTGTGTGTCCATTTAATTAGGGTAAATACCCATCGAAAGGTTTAAATTTTACACCTTTGAGGCAGAATTTTTTTTTAATGCTTAAACGTATAATAATAGGATTTGGATGATGATTGTAACATATATCCTCAAACTAACCGTACACGTTACCGATTTTATATAATTTCTAATAAAATATAGAATTGGCTTATTATTATTAATAATAATAATATATAAGACATTTATCACAATATCCTTATCCAAAATACTAGAGATAGCTAGACTTGCATGGGTCCGATGGGAGGAAGTAGGAACCATGCCATGGTCCATCTTTGCTTTGGTTCGTCACCTTTTATCGTGGCTTTAAGCTGCTGGCAAAGATGGGAAAATATGGGGTAATTAACATAAATGGTAACAAACCTTTGCACTTAGTACAAAATGGTCACAAACCTTTAATTTGTAACAATACGGTAACAAAACTTTGAAATTGTATAAAATGGTCACCGCTATTTAATTTATGACCGTTTTGTTTTAAGTGCAAAGGTTTGTTACCGAATCGTTACAAATTAAATGTTGGTCATGTTTTGTGGTCGGGTAGTTTGTTCGTTAAGTATATGACACTAACCACTTGAACGACATATAAGATGTCAGGTCATGTGTTCATCGACATATTTGCTTTGCCGAATAAGAATGCCCTCACTTGACCTTTCAATTTCGATACCAAGAAAGTAAGAAAGTAGACATAGTTTTTCCACTAAAAAGCTGTCTGGAACCCGTTTGTGAGCCATTGAATTCTCTCATTGTCATCCTAAACAATATAATATCATTCACATACATTAACAAAACCACCATTCAACTAGAGTGAATTGTAACGGTGATTGAGCGTTCAAACTTTTGAACTTAATTTGTACAAAACGGTCACCAAAAGTCTAATTTGCAACGACACGGTAACAAAAATTTGAACTGGTATGAAATGGTCACACTATTTAATTTGTGACCGTTTTGTTCTAAGTAAAAAAGTTTTGTTATCAAATGATTACAAATTAAAGGTTTGTGACTGTTTTGTACTAAGTGCAAAGGTTTGTGACCATTTATGCTAATTACCCGGAAAATATGGGAGTTGGGACCGAGACTGGGCAGCTAGCTAGCGCCTCGCTGGCATGCATAAGTTTCCATAAATATTATTACTCGGCTAGATTCCATCCATATCCATTATTGGTGGCCATCTTGTCGCTACTGCTCTATATAACACAACTAGCTTTTTACCCGGCCCGTTGGCCGGAGAGATTTATTTTATAATTTATATGTTTAAATCATTTTGGATCTTCTAAATATTTTATAACAGAGTTTGTAGTATGTCTATATTGAAATTTCCAATATTTAGCACACTTACTTGTGATGCTTTGGTTTCTGAATCTTAAATTATGCCGCTGTCATGTCCCATTTCGAACTTATGTCAAAATTTGTCAACCAAAACACGAATATTTAGCGTACGCCAACCTGAACCACACACATATATATAGTTCAAGCTAGCGTGCGCCAGGAGTACGCTATACTCTTGTGTTCATACTACTATACGACCATTGAGTTTTATTATTTAGACCCGAATTAACCGGAGGTTTTTTGGGCATGATACTATACCCTAACTTCTAATAGGTGAACTCTAGTCCCTAATTCTGTAACCTCTAATTTATGCACATACTTCGTAATACCTATCTTCTATCGTATCTTGAGTTAAGTATAGTATACATTGATATTACATATACATGTATATATATGTATGTGTATATTAGACTCAAAATTATCTAGAGATCTCGCGTTTACCCCCATAACGCCAGACAACCATTGAGGTTGTCTATCGTACGATATGTAATATTATAAAGAGGCAAATACTAAGATCCTACTATTTATTTCTTATTCTCTCCCGCCGTCCCCTTTATGGAGAATAAAAAGGTAGGGATGACAGGATCATAGCTCAATATGGTTTTATTATGTTCATCGTATCAGAGGTTATGTTCTTTTTTGCTTTTTTTTTTTTTTTGCTTCTTTTTCATTCTACTTTATCACCTATGATTGTGATCAGAGGTATTTAGTCCTCGAAAGGGGTTGGGATTTTAGGTCCTTTGGAAATCCAATACACATTCATGATCCTCGAGTTTGAACGAACTCTCGACCAATGTTGTAAAAATTACGACTTTTTAGTGAGAAATTCTTAGTAAAGATACTTCATTATTAGATTTATTCATCCGTATTGAAACTTGACACACACCGTAGCCCTCATGATGACTAAATTCTCTAATATCGACTCATTTTCATTTTGGATGTTTGTTTTTTTTTTATCCAGACACTTAAATTTAGTATATTATACAATATGTATCAATTGTTAATTCTTGAAGTTTATACTAAACCTCAACCGGTGGTCATTGTTTATATGTTGGGTTAGAATCTCAATCTAAGGCACTCACACACACTATCGAGGATTTTGGTCTTAACATGATTGTTGAATGTGTAATTTTCAAAGATTTTATCACTTATATATTAATAATTGATAAAGAGTGTCTCCAATACACACATATTTTAAGTGCATTTAAAATGTCTTATCATTTGAACACTATCAGTGTATTTCATTTGATTATTTGCATTAACTTATTATCTTATACAACATATATTAATTCGTGTTTCTCGAGTCTAGACGAACTGACAACCAGAGATTATTGGATAAAAATACTTGATTGTTGGATAAATATGTTTATCCCAATTGACAATCTTACTAAAAATTGCCAACCTTTATTTGGTAAATGCCTAGGTTAGTAGTTGATGAAACGTGATGTTTATCGTAGATTCTGAACAAAGATTTTTCTAACCTTCACATCTATTATTTTTCAAGGAATTTTGTGTCTCATCCTAGGGTACGAAGTCAAAGTTCGTCAACAATCATACTTTAGTCATTTTGAAAATTTTGATTTATAATCGTCGAAGATAACTCCAAGTCTAAAAGAAAATTTCTTAGCATACGACCTAGAACCTCAATAGAGCTTGCTCAATCAACAGGATATAGAGCAAATATTATTAATGTGAACTTAGGTCACATTATCAAATTATTGCATGTGCGATTCCTCTTCATTTGAAGAATTTAAGATAGAACATTATCTGAATGAATAAGAATTTTTTTTAAATAAATAACTGTAACTACTTGATCAAGATTATACTCTGACATTTTTCTAAATAATGCAATTTTATTTTATAGATATATACTGTACGAATAAGAGAGTGTTTCATTGTAACAAAATAAAAAGTAATATAGTTTATTTTTCAAAGGTAATTGAATATCAAATGTTTATTTTCTCTCTTTTCGTATATATTTTGGTTTAATCCATTAAAACATAATTTTTTATATGTATGTTTGTTTATTTTTTCTTCAAAATGTAACTTATAATTGAATTTTAGTAAAAATGAGTAGAAAATTTATTTCGTAAGGTTTAATCAAATATTTTTTATTTAAATAAATGTGATATATGTCACTCCCTGTTTTCTTATTTATATTTTGTTTATTTAACAAAAA